CCTTTTCACTGCAGTGAATATGTAAAACACTTTATTTAAAAGTTTTTCAAAATTATTGAGAGACTTGTAAATTTATGGGTAGCAGTAATCCACTTGCTTATCCACAATTTAGTTTCGGCAAGTAAACATCCTTATAAATATTGTTCTGTAACAATATACACTGACTGATGCAAAATTGAAACTTGAACAAAATTCACACGTATTAAAAAGCATGCCAACCCTGGTCGATGTGCACACTTTACAAGATAACTTGCTTGAATATATATTGATCAATATACAAACTTAGACGATAAGTTCAAAGTTGAGTGAAATCCATGCCTAATTAATTAGCATACTGTACTCTGATTGGTCAATGGTTTTATGCCAAGTAACTTTGTTAGATAAGGCAAGGGTTGATATCTTATTCAACAACAAAGGCAAAGTTCAAAGATGTTCACAATCTGTGCATAATCTATTCAATGGTTTAAAATAATCAGGTATTGGTCAAAGGGGTAAATGCCAGTTTCAGTTTTTAATGTTCTATGAAATACATTGTATGGACAAAGGGAAGCAATTCCAAATTCCTATGCAAATTAATTATCCAAAGGTTTAAAATGATATATTCTAGAGGAAACTTGGTACCACTCTTCTGACAAACCTATAAAGATATACTGTACACACAAGAAGAATAACTTCACAGTGGTACACTTTTACATAAAACTTTGATTCATAACAAATTAACAGTAAATCCTTCTGTACAATATGATGGGAACTTCGTCTTTATTTTGTTCTCCATTCCAAAAATAATATATATATCTTTTGCCTTAGCTTTCAGTACTTTCAGTACTTTGATTATCACAGGCTTTCCCAAAAGATGAAACTGACCACACTGGATGTTGGCTTCAGGTCATGTCATTCTCAACTACATAAAGTTTTGTTAGGAGATATATATTGTCAGTATCAACTCGATTTTCAGGTAATCAAAACAACTTACTTCACTAAATTGTCCCTTTAATCCTTGTGTTGTAAACAGGGATGCAATTCTATACCACACTTTGAACTTTAATCCCTGTGCTATATATATATGAATAGAAGTACTTTCCATACTCCAAAACCTAATACTTGTGCTTTGTATGCGGAAGAACTTCTCTAATTATGTAAACAGGATTTACAAAAACATGTTGTACTGTGGTCATATTTCAATCTTTCTTCATCTTTTTTCTAGTCGTTTGTTGCTGCAAGTTACCGCTCTCCCAGACGATTTTAACCAAAAAGGTAATCTATTTATCTATATCATCTCTCACCCTAGTTGAGAAGTGATGGACAGAATAACCATACAAAGAGTCTGTGAAACTGATTCTGGAGAATTTGAGAATTAACAACCTTAAACAAATTCATTTGTAAAAGCTAAATGGCTACAGGCACCAGTATGCGGTGTTAGTATAGATTTGAGTCAGAAATGTCACTCGCACACCTTTCTCCCCATGAAAACTTTGATGAAAAGTTAGCAAGTATGGAATTACCAGGGCCTGGTTGTTTAAAGGCTTTAACTAATAATCCAGAATTAACTGGGCCGTATTGCTTAAAGCCTGGCCTTAACCTACAATCCGAAATTACCAGGGCCCAATTGTTTAAAGCCTAGTGAGTGAGTGGCTTTAACCTACAATCCAGAATTACCAGGGCCCGATTGTTTAGTGCAGAAGCCAGATATAGCATACATATGAAGTTTCATTTGCTTTAGATTTTTGTCAAAACAAAAAGGGGCCATTGATGGCTGTAGTTTATGTCTGAAAAACATTCAAATAAGCAAAGCACCCTGAGTAATCTGTCTTTATAACTGGTGATGCCTATAGGGAAAGGGGATGAAACCTTTAAAAGGACTATTCCTTAAGTTCAGGAATAAATTTTGTCTTTGCTTTGTGTTGAGTATCCCTGAATTAATGTTGTTGTCCCCCAGAGGACATCGGAACATATTTAAAACATTCTCATTAAATATGGTTGAAGGGTTTTCAACCTCTTCTGAGATGAAATACCCCTTGACCAAAGGATGTTTACCGGTATGTTGTATAAATATAAGACTTTACCACATGGGAGCAGAGGAATTTGGCTCAGGTGCAAATTAAATGACCAGTCAGTGATGGTCACCAAGGCCTCTGATTGGCTGGGACTTTTCTAAACATTCATCTTGCTGATTCTGACAAAACTTTTTACAAATAGTTCTGTCAGGGCCTTGACCAAGTGTTTTTTAAATACTTGACAAATTATGCTTTTATCACCTTTTTGACTCGCTTAACTAATGATTTATTTCAGATATTATAAGTATCGAGCAGTCCATAGCTACACAGTTCCAGCTACGAGCCTACAAAGAAGTTCACGTCAGTAAAGTCAGCCCTAAGGTACGTACCGATCATAACTTCCTTCTTATCAATATCAAAAACATAGGAACATTTTCATTGGAACTTAATCATAAGTTGTAATAAATGAGCTGCAAAATGCAAAACAAGTGTATTTTATAGTTAGTTGGAACCATCATAAATAATTACCGGTATATATTTAAATGTGAATTTTCATGTGGAAAGTTCTCTTTTTGATATTGCTGTAATCATCTTTCTATCATTGCAATATAAAGTTTAAAAAGAAATTCTTATAATTTATTAACTTGATTCAGATATTTTACAAGTCCTAACCTTTTCCCTCCAAATAACTTGACAAATGATATTGAGTGCCTTCTTTTTCAAAATCATTGAATAAAGGTTTCCTCACAAATCCCTTGCAACTCAAAGCAGCCATAATGGACATCAGAAGTAGACTGTAACGTGTGTTTAGTAGTAGAGTATGATCTATGTAATACCAGAGAGAGCTATAGATTTGCACTATGTAAGTCAGTGTGTCAAACTGTCTGAGGTATATCTCATACACTCTGTAAATCAGTGTGTCAAACTGTCTGAGGTATATCTCATACACTCTGTAAGTCAGTGTGTCAAACTGTCTGAGGTATATCTCATACACTCATACAGATTTGGATTTGGGTACATCTTGTGGTTGGTGAGGGTTGCATACTGAAGTTGATATTTGTTCCTTACTATATAGAGTTATGGCTCTTTGCACAGTTTTTCAGGAGATAGGGATTGCTCACAATACATAGCCTTGTTTTGTTTGATGCACACACCTCAAAGCATGATAAAACTTCAATGACATGACCTTAATTTGACCTTGACAGGATGTTGCGCTTGATCTTGTGGAGTTGCTGTTTAAAGACCAGTACCTCAGTCGCAGTGACATGTGGCGCCTACGGCATGGCCTTGTCAACACCTGTGCTTACCTTACAAAGAAGATAGAAACTGCTCAGATGAGGTGATACTACCAATAACAGAGTGGAATTTATACTGCTTTTTGTGTCGCCTGCAACGCGAGGCAACATATAGGTATTACTTTGGCAGCGGCGGCGGTTGCTTTGTCTGAAACAAGATTTCCGTGCGATAACTTGAGTTCACTTGGGTTGATTGAACTAAAACTTAGTACACATATCGCATATCAATATAGCTCTAGACGAGTTCGCATTGCAGAAGTTTACATGCATATTTGGTGGAGTTATGCCCCTTTTATTGCCAAATAAGGGCATTGTTTAGTAAATGAAAGAACTTTTTTATTTTTCAATCAATTCCTTTCAAATTTTGTACGGTAATGCTAGAAGCAATAATGTTCAACATGTTTTACAGGTTTTTCTATTAAGTTTCAACTTTCCATGTTTTGGCATATCACACTTGACATAGCAATGCTGTTCATCGTTTTTGCCATTAATTTTTGCTGGTTTACGCGATTACTCAAGCCAAAACACTTTTCTCACTAAAAGCGCTGAGCAGGCGACACATCCAATTCTGTGCAATTCTTGTTCTGATATAATTGTTTGAAAATCTATAATATAAAAGTGATGTATTTGGGAGCATTTTTGACATCTTTATATTACCAATACATGTAAAGCACTAAAAAGACTTTGTATTATAGAAACGTTTTTAGCCCTTTAGGAATTTCTTTATACATTTCATTTGTTGCTTTTACAAAAGAGGAATGATAGTAAGTTTGATTCAGATAGTCATGTACAGAGTTGGGCTGCAACAAAAATATGTGTATTTTGCTCACATCAAACTTAATGACTACCTTTCTTTACGTGAAATTATCTTAGCACCTATCTGTTATCAAGGAAATTATTTTTTCTCATTTCCGTGTGTGTAAGTTAGAGCTGTCCAGGGTAAGAAAGGGGTGAAGGAAATTTCTATCTTACACACCATTTTCATGTGACGTGACGAATTTGGAAAACACTGATGCCGCAATGCGGAAATGGCAACGTGATTTAATAAAAAACTTTTAAGATATTTTTACCGTACACATTAGAAAGATGAGATTATTTTTCTGCGCAAACTGTGTTTGCACATATGGGGTATGCCAAATCTCGCTGAAGAGTTCGTTTTCATCAAAAATGTTCAGGGGGAAAATTGATATTTTCAAAATGGTAGCCAGTCCATACCCATTTTCATGGTTTCTGAGGTTATTCTGGTAGTTGGAATGAGAGAAAAATACTCTTTCATGCCCAAGGGTGTAGGATAGGGAAATTCCACCCTCTGGATTTTCAAATTTGGAAACCCCTCGGGTAGAACTTCCCTATCCTACTCCCCTTGACACGAAAGAGTCTTATAGTATTAAATTTACAGCATTTAATTTTTTTGTGCATTTATACAACTTTGATGATAAATGAAGGAACAGAAGTAATCACTGTATAAAATGTTGTTTCAGGGCCCAGGTTTTTGAGTTGTGGGCTAAAGGTGACCGTGTGACATGTGGTATGATTACTGATGATACAAGGGTAAGTTACAACGCATTGGTTACGGGCATTGGGGGTAGGGGGAGGTCATCCAGCTGTGTCACAAGTTTAAGGTTACAGTTACATAACACAAATGCAGTAAACAAAACAAATAACAATTATATTCTGTTATTTTTTAACTAGACACAAGCTATTTGCAAAATCTATGTTCACACTTTCCTGAACAGATTTGCGAGTTAGAATATATATGCAAAACACTACCAAATTTCTACTTAATTTTCCCTTTCTTATTGGAACATTACTACTTTGTTTCAGATTGTGTTCCGCTCATCGACGGCTGTTGTCCAAATCTTCATCCAGATGAGTTCTGAGATGTGGGACTTTGACATCAATGGGGACTTGTACTTTGAAAAAGCTGTAAATGGATTTCTTACCGACTTATTTGCCAAGTGGAAGGTAATTCAATAAATGACATATAAAGTTTTTGGTGAATTTAGAGGTTATTACAATTGTACAAATGTACTGTTTGTACATATATTGGAAAATATCTGTTTTATAGGGAATATTTGTTATTTAAAAAATGAAATCAGAAAAATAATTTAACATTTCTTCACTGATAAATTCCTGATTGTATATTAGCTACAAACCAAAAATAGTCTAAGCTCTTACAAGTACCTGATTGTTAATTGTTACTGGACCCAAAACTGTCTATTAAATACCTGATTCTGTGTTGTTAATAGACCCAGAACAGTCTATCAAATACCTTGTTCTGTGTTGTTTATAGACCCAGAACTGTCTATCAAATACCTGATTCTGTGTTGTTTATAGACCCAGACCTGTCTATTAAATACCTGATTCTGTGTTGTTTATAGACTCAGAACAGTCTATTAAATACCTGATTCTGTATTTATAGACCCAGAACTGTCTATTGAATACCTGATTCTGTGTTGTTTATAGACCCAGAACTGTCTATTAAATACCTTGTTCTGTGTTGTTTATAGTGCCAGACCTGTCTATTAAATACCTGATTCTGTGTTGTTTATAGACCAAGAACTGTCTATTAAATACCTTGTTCTGTGTTGTTCATAGACCCAGGACTGTCTATTAAATACCTTGTTCTGTGTTGTTTATAGACCAAGAACTGTCTATTAAATACCTGATTCTGTGTTGTTTATAGACCCAGAACAGTCTATTAAATACCTGATTCTGTATTGTTTATAAAACCAGAACTATCTATTAAATACCTGATTCTGTGTTGTTTATAGACCAAGAACTGTCTATTAAATACCTGATTCTGTGTTGTTTATAGACCAAGACCTATCTATTAAATACCTTGTTCTGTGTTGTTAATAGACCCAGAACTGCCTATTAAATACCTGATTCTGTGTTGTTTATAGACCCAGAACAGTCTATTAAATACCTGATTCTGTATTGTTTATAGACCCAGAACAGTCTATTAAATACCTGATTTTGTATTGTTTATAAAACCAGAACTGTCTATTAAATACCTGATTCCGTGTTATTTATAGACTCAGAACTGTCTATCAAATACCTGATTCTGTGTTGTTTATAGACCCAGAACTTTCTCTTAAATACCTGATTCTGTGTTGTTTATAGACCCAGAACTGTCTATTAAATACCTGATTCTGTATTGTTTATAGACCCAGAACTGTCTATCAAATACCTGATTCTGTGTTGTTTATAGACCCAGAACTGTCTATTAAATACCTGATTCTGTATTGTTTATAGACCCAGAACTGTCTATTAAATACCTGATTCTGTATTGTTTATAGACCCAGAACTGTCTATTAAATACCTGATTCTGTGTTGTTTAAAGACCCAAAACTGTCTATCAAATACCTGATTCTGTATTGTTTATAGACCCAGAACTGTCTATTAAATACTGATTCTGTATTGTTTATAGACCCAGAACTGTCTATCAAATACCTGATTCTGTATTGTTTATAGACCCAGACCTGTCTATTAAATACCTGATTCTGTATTGTTTATACACCCAGAACTGTCTATTAAATACTGATTCTGTATTGGTTATAGACCCAGAACTGTCTATCAAGTACCTGATTCTGTATTGTTTATAGACCCAGATCTGTCTATTAAATACTGATTCTGTATTGTTTATAGACCCAGAAGTGTCTATTAAATACCTGATTCTGTATTGTTTATAGACCCAGAACTGCCTACATGATGTGACCATTGTTCTGTTCTCGCGGACTTTCTACAAAGCTACATCAAGAGGTATACTTGAACAAAGACATTGCTTTAAAAGTTTATATAGATTATTTATTACAAAGTAATACTTTCTATTATCTTTCATTTAATGTTTCAGTTTTTCCTCTGTAAACATTTCTATTGAAAAGGAAAGTAGTTAAAAGATGCAATATCAAATAACTGAAAGCATATGAATATGTATACCTGTGATTAATGATGCATTTGTGTATGACAGAGGATTTTCCACCTGGTGTAAGGGACTGTATACAGGTAGACTACCAAGGTCGCTTCTACGAGGACTTCTACAGGTATGCTATATATACACCTGTTGTAACTTGCTCTACACACTGTTCACGTAGTAGAAATATAAACTTAAATCACTATTTCTTGAGAGAGTAATCCTGAAAACGACGGTACATTGACTCATATCATTGATTCCTGCAGTAATGATGTAATCTCCTTGTGTCTATATATTAACTGTGTCTCTGCTTTATGTAGGGGGTAAACCATCCATCTCTGCACATTTGCTGGTATCCCTTATTCCTACAGGGTGGAATCACCTGTTTTTAGAGCTTATGCCATACCGCAGCATCCAGCGTCCGGCCGTCTGTCACCATTTCCTTTAAAAAGCTAATTATCCTGAACAGCCAAGCAGATTTTGATTAAATTTGGTCTGGAGCATCCTTAGGCCAAGGGGACTCAACTTTGTATAAATGGTGGGTGTGGCCCCCCTGGGGGCAGAGGGGCAGGGCCCAATAGGAATATAGCAAATTTAGTCTGGAGCATCCTTGGGCCAAGGGGACTCAATTTTGTATAAGCAGTGGGTGTGGTCTCCCAGGGGGCAGAAGGGCGAGGCCCAATAGGAGAAATAGAGGTCAAAACTTTTAAATCTTTCCTCTACCATAGGGATTATGGGATTTTATCCTAATTTAGCCTGGAGCATCCTTGGGCCAAGGGGACTCAATTTTGTATAAACCGTGGGTCTGGCCCCCAGGGGCCTGAGGGGCGGGGCCCAATAGGGGAAACATAGCAAATTCTTCAAAATCCTTCTTTTTCTGTAATAATGAAAGGATTTGTTCCATATTTTATTTTAAACATATTCAGGTGAGCGATACAGGCCCTCTGGGCCTCTTGTTATACTTGTACTTGATTCACTATTTTTTGCAGGGGTAATGTCTTTTTGTCTATGCATTTACTTGTGTCACTTTCTCCAGCAATGTAATCTGTATATAATTTACCAGATGGGTATACCACTATATCCTGCAGTGTAATTTGTATATAACTTACCAGATGGGTATACCACTATATCCTGCAGTGTAATCCGTATATAACTTACCGGATGGGTATACCACTATATCCTACAGTGTAATCTGTATATAACTTACCGGATGGGTATACCACTATATCCTCCAGTGTAATTTGTATATAACTTACCAGATGGGTATACCACTATATCCTGCAGTGTAATTTGTATATAACTTACCAGATGGATATACCACTATATCCTGTAGTGTGATCTGTATATAACTTACCAGATGGGTATACCACTATATCCTGCAGTGTTATCTGTATATAACTTACCGGATGGGTATACCACTATATCCTGCAGTGTAATTTGTATATAACTTACCAGATGGGTGTACCACTATATCCTGCAGTGTAATTTGTATATAACTTACCAGATGTGTATACCACTATATCCTGCAGTGTAATTTGTATATAACTTACCAGATGTGTATACCACTATATCCTGCAGTGTAATTTGTATATAACTTACCAGATGGGTATACCACTATATCCTGCAGTGTTATCTGTATATAACTTACCGGATGGGTATACCACTATATCCTACAGTGTAATCTGTATATAACTTACCGGATGGGTATAACACTATATCCTGTAGTGTAATCTGTATATAACTTACCAGATGGGTATACCACTATATCCTGCAGTGTTATCTGTATATAACTTACCGGATGGGTATACCACTATATCCTGTAGTGTAATCTGTATATAACTTACCAGATGGGTATACCACTATATCCTGCAGTGTTATCTGTATATAACTTACCGGATGGGTATACCACTATATCCTACAGTGTAATCTGTATATAACTTACCGGATGGGTATACCACTATATCCTACAGTGTAATCTGTATATAACTTACCGGATGGGTATAACACTATATCCTGTAGTGTAATCTGTATATAACTTACCAGATGGGTATACCCCTATATCCTGCAGTGTAATCTGTATATAACTTATATTACAGGATGGGTATACCACTATATCCTGCAGTGTAATTTGTATATAACTTACCAGATGGATACACCACTATATCCTGTAGTGTGATCTGTATATAACTTACCAGATGGGTATACCACTATATCCTGCAGTGTAATCTGTATATAACTTATATTACCGGATGGGTATACCACTATATCCTGTAGTGTAATCTGTATATAACTTATATTACTGGATGGGTATACCACTATATCCTGCAATGTAATCTCCTGACTCTGTACATATACTTTCATCATTGTTTACTACAGAGTGTTGGTGCAGAACGAGCGTTATGATGACTGGACGAGAACGATCAAGACATTAAGGAAACTTTTCAACGAGTATCCTCGTCGTGTCCTCAATTACCATAAGGTCAAAGGTCAGAAGATGCCCAAGGCCTGGAACTCTACTGCAAGTCAGGGGAACTTCCTGGAAACATTAAACATGTCTCTAAACTGTAAGTTGTACATGCTTGATACTGGGCAGCAACTGTAAGGCTGTATACACTAGACACTAAATATACACACTACACCAGGTAACCACTGCCAGGTGTTACATATTGACAGTAGACACTGGAAGGTGTCGATACATTCTACTTGGAGTCTATAAGAACATTGTCCTAAAGAGAAGTGTTAATTCTGTGTTTCAGTGTTAGAGAAGCACTATGTGGACAGGAACTTTGACCGGACTGGTAAAGTGGCAGTGGTCATCACACCTGGACCAGGTGTGTTCGAGGTGGACAGAGAGTTGACCAACATCACCAAGCAGAGGACTATAGATTGTGGTATGTACAGTGGGCAGGCTGAGGACTTGCTCCCTGTAGGATCTAGGGGAAAATAATAGGCCTGGGCCCATATTCATGAAACCGTTCTCATGCTCAACCATAGATTATGTTCTCGAGCAACTTTTCTTGTTACTCATTCAAATCGTGTCAAACGATCAAAAAGTTAAATGTAAACATTGAAAACAGTATGTTAGGCTTTAAGTCTCTTCAATTTTGCCAAATCATTGACAAGATAAGATTTCATTAAGTTTTAACCGGAATAAGAAATTAGGCTTGAGCAAAAAATCCATACAAATCCATACTTGAGCATCAGAATGAATACGGGCCCTGGTATATCCTGCAGCATAATAATGTGAGGCGATCAATGTCGAACCTCCTGCAGATTTGAGATGTCATCTGATGTTTCTCACTACGTAATCATATGAGGCCACCGTTGAGTCGTGTCCAGCTGGTTTGAGATTTCCCATTCTGCTTTCATACAACATAAATCTGCTGCAAAGAAAAAACATCATGTTCTTTACAAGTCACTGTATTTTATCATTACCTTTTCGGGTAATGATGTATATTTTGTTGATAACATTTAACTGAGAATGTTATGTTACAGGTGTGGGAAGTGATCTGGTTTGTATGGGAGAACAGCCTCTCCACGCGGCACCACTCTTCAAGGTACACGACTCTGGCACATGAGATTATTATTGAAGTCTCTTTCTGTAAAGGAGTACCCCCTAATATAATTGTTATAAAGTTATTATAGTTTTATTGGCATAATTATTTATTAAATGTTGCAGTATATCACATTAGAAAAGATAAGTCATTTCAAAACTGTCCATATTGTCCATCAATTGGGTCATTTCACAAGTCAGCTCACTAGAAACACAATTATCTCAGACATGAATTTTACATCAATCTACATTAACTAACAAGATGCTGAACAAACCATTTTTTGTACATTTTGTTTCCAGTTTCACAACCGCAACCTGAAGGCCACTTTGCAGGTCGGGGACGACTACAACATCCCACATTGGATGAACCATAGCTTTTATCTGTCAAAGAACCAGATTCAGGCTCACCTCCATGGGAGCTTCATCCCCCGCATTAAACCTCCCCAGCAAATAGTAAGTGTGAACTTATCCCTGAGTTTTGATATAAAGTGTGTTATAGTTAATGTGAACTCATCCTTGCCTTTCAATGTAAAATGTTGTATCATACCGTCTTGGTGACCTTAAATTGGACCTCAATAGAGTGATATAAAATGTAGTATCATACCGTCTTGGTGACCCTAAATTGGGCCTCAATAGAGTGATATAAAATGTGGTATCATACCGTCTTGGTGACCTTAAATTGGGCCTCAATAGAGTGATGTGATATAAAATGTGATATCGTTCCTTATTGGATACCTTAAATTGGGCCTCAATAGAGTAATATAAAATGTTGTATCATAACATCTTGGATACCTTAAATTGGGCCTCAATAGAGTAATATAAAATGTGGTATCATACCGCCTTGGATACCTTAAATTGGGCCTCAATAGAGTAATATAAAATGTGATATCGTTCCTTATTGGATACCTTAAATTGGGCCTCAATAGAGTGATATAAAATGTATCATACCGTCTTGGATACCTTAAATTGGGCCTCAATAGAGTGATATAAAATGTTGTATCATACCGTCTTGGATACCTTAAATTGGGCCTCAATAGAGTGATATAAAATGTTGTATCATACCGTCTTGGATACCTTAAATTGGGCCTCAATAGAGTGATATAAAATGTTGTATCATACCGTCTTGGATACCTTAAATTGGGCCTCAATAGAGTGATATAAAATGTTGTATCATACCGTCTTGGATACCTTAAATTGGGCCTCAATAGAGTGATATAAAATGTTGTATCATACCGTCTTGGATACCTTAAATTGGGCCTCAATAGAGTGATATAAAATGTTGTATCATACCGTCTTGGATACCTTAAATTGGGCCTCAATAGAGTGATATAAAATGTTGTATCATACCGTCTTGGATACCTTAAATTGGGCCTCAATAGAGTGATATAAAATGTTGTATCATACCGTCTTGGATACCTTAAATTGGGCCTCAATAGAGTGATATAAAATGTTGTATCATACCGTCTTGGATACCTTAAATTGGGCCTCAATAGAGTGATATAAAATGTTGTATCATACCGTCTTGGATACCTTAAATTGGGCCTCAATAGAGTGATATAAAATGTTGTATCATACCGTCTTGGATACCTTAAATTGGGCCTCAATAGAGTGATATAAAATGTTGTATCATACCGTCTTGGATACCTTAAATTGGGCCTCAATAGAGTAATATAAAATGTTGTATCATATCGTCTTGGATACCTTAAATTGGGCCTCAATAGACTGTCCACATACAGTTAAAGTGTCCTTGCACAAATAGTGATGTTGCACAATAAAAACAAATAATCATTGTCGTCTCATGTCCCACCGGACAAAATTTCAACAGTAAGTCTTTCCAATATTGAAAATAGATTCTCTTTGTATTAAAAGAACTGATATATCTTCATGTTTGATTTTTCCTTTCAGGAGAAGAAATCCAAGTCGAAAGATAGAGGTAAGATCCATTTCAGAATATTGTATAAACTAACTTCATTTCATAACTAACATTTCATTTACTGACTGTCAGGCCTCAGTTTTCTCCTAACTCAAATTCCATTCATGCAGAATAATGGGTATACACCTGACCGAGATGGGAGGATTCTTACTGATCCCTTGGTGCAAAATATCACTTTTGCCTTTCAAATTATCATTTATATAACTAGTTGAAATACAAATATTAATACCAATAAAAAAAGTATTAAGAGAAATGCCTATCGCTGCTATGTTTTTTTAGTGCTGTTTAAATCAATTTTAATCCAAATTCTTTTTTTTTATGGTGGTAAAAAACATGGATTCCTGCAAGTGGTTATAGACAGTCATTTGTGTAGGTGTTAGTATGTAACACTATCTAATCTAGACTACAGCACCATGTTGTGTAGGTGTTAGTATGTAACACCCTATCTAATCTAGACTACAGCACCATGTTGTTTATGTTTTCAGTTGCAGACTTCCCGGCTTATCCACCCCCCAGCACATCTACAGACAATGACAACTTTCCCTTCATGGACTATGATGAGTATGATGCCCAAGTCTTCAAACTTCCCACTCGCAACTATTCTCTTATAGGGTAAATATCATTAATATTATGAATTCTTGTATCAAGAATGAGTTTCTACACAGAACAGAGTTTACCGAGAATGGTTTACCTCAGTTGAACTTTCATTCTTCATCTTCATTACCCTGGTAAGTAGGAGATGCTGAAATTCACAAAAACTACTTGGACGTTGGATCTTTCCTACCCCTGTGCATTACTTCCACCATAAATATTAGAACACATATAGTATCAAACTTTGTAGAGGAAATGCAAGGGAAGGACAAATACTTCATGATGCATTTTATTTTATTTATTTATTTACAAATATCAATTTTATTCCCCTATCAAAGATATTAGAAGGCTGCAGGGATTGGGGAGCCCCAGGGTCAGCTTCTTTACAATTTAGTGTCCTCATGCAAGAAGACTGTCATTCTTTTAAAGTAAATCCAAGTTATATATCATTAGGCAAAGTTTCTTGGCCCCTTTCGCGTATCCGGTTCAACCAGTTGCAACAGTTGAACCTAGAAAGAAAAAGAAAAACGCAGGTCTGAATTGAGGCTGACCTCAGGAATATTCGGCACGTGTAGATTGAGGGGTCTAGACGTGACTGACCGAAACTGCTGACTATTGCTAGTTTGCATTATTTCTGAAGTTAAGCCACATGCAGATTTTTAAGATACGTTGTATAATTTGGTGGGCGTGTGTAGGAAGGACATAACATTCTTGATACATTGTGATCTATTCTCCAAAAATGTGCTTTTTTTAGCTCTGCATATAGTTCGGTCCAAGTGCGTTAGTTCGTTCATATTTCTGCGCCACTTGAACCATTTCAACCAGGATATGCGAATGTAGTCATAGTATACATTACTGTAAATCCATATTTAGAAAAAAGTTAGGATTTCCAAGAGCTAGAGTATACACCCATTAATTCAAATATATTGTTAAAATAAAGGAGCAGGACATCAGGTTTTGTTATTTATGGGTGATCCTCTATTATTAAAAAAAAATCAGAGCTCAGCTGGAATAATCTATTATGAGAGTTTATAAGGTGACCTCTGTCATTTCTGTAGAATGAAGAAAAAGAAAACAAAGAAACAACCACAGACATATATGGAGGCCAAAAAGGCCCATAAAGGTAGAATACGACGGTCGTCTGATGACATGCTGCTAGAGAGAGTGCTGACTTCTGACCGCATGGATGGGGCCATCTCCATCCCTGTTCGGTCAAGCAGTGGGGATGAGATCTCTTCGTCAGTACCTGCCATTGGTGAGTCATGTTGTCTTAAGGCCAAAAATGAAAAGTTAGTAAATTCAGTGGTAAATATCTTTAAAAAGATTATTTGAAGAGGTATACCTCAATAAATTCAGATCAATGTAAACTATGGAGTCTTTTAGAGGATCAAAGAATTTGATAGTAGGATAAAAGAATTTCTCTGCTGTTACAGACAAGTGTCATGCAAAAGATCTTGAAGACACGTCTGAAGAAGAAGGCGAGTATGTACGGCCTATATTTGGAAGTGCTGGGTCTCCATACTTTCACTCCAAGCATCTTTCATCCATGACCTTGTCCCGTCGTGCTCTCATCAATCCATTTGCTCCATCCACCATGCATTTCAAGATGACATCTAATCGTCGACGATGGATTCATGCTTTTCCTACAGGTATTATGTTAGATGTTTACTGTTATAAAAATGTTCCTGGCAATAAACAATATAAACTTTTAGAAAAAAGAAGCTTTATAAATGAAAACACATTTATTCTACACCAATTTTGAAACAAGTTCAATATTAAGCACTCTTGTTGGCCTGTATGTAAGCTTTCAGGGGGTCTTAATGTGGGAGGAATCCGGGGTACCCGGAAAAAACCCACGTGGTCGAGAAGAAGAACAACAAGAAGTTGTATAAACTGATAATAATTGAGATTTTTCCACATATCTTTAGTGTTAGGTATGATTAAAATATGTTTTGTATTGTGTTTTTGGTGCTTACTGCCAGACCAGTGTATAAGTGGGCAGGTATTTCCAAATAACCTTGTAGTATTAAGGATGACATACTTCCATAAGGTGTTTTTTTGTGAGCAGATATTATTTTGAGTATAAAAGGTGCTGTATGGGCAGAGCTTTTGGTTTAGTTGGTAGAAACATTTGCAGTAATTCAATTATTGGAATAAATAAAGGATTTTTGGTTTTTAGATCCCCAAGGAGCAGCTGTCCAGACTCATCATTTCCGCACATTTTCTCATACTGAGGAAATGGAAGGGAGCTTTGATCTTCACTCAAAAGAGGTAATTGTGGAAGTGTCTGGTTCAGGTACCAAGTCATCAAGGTCATTCACTGTCTAAACAAGACAACAAAGTTAGGAGAGTATACTGGAATCAGGGCGTCCATCCATCTGTCACTATGTATGTAGACACAAGTTATCCCGACTATTTCTCAAACACTTCAGATTTCAATAAAATTACGCTTTCTGTAATGTGGTTGTTTGTCCCCCAGCAGTTCGCGAGGGGGACTATAGGTTTGCACTCCGTCCGAGAAGTTTGTCTGGGACATATCCTTTCTACTATTTCACCTTGAGTAACCAGCTTTGGTGTACGAGAACATCTTGGGATAGTGGAGTGCAAAAAGAAGTTCACTATGACCTCACTGTGACCTATGCTTTGACCTTTGACCTTAACTTTCGAAAATGTTGGTCAGGGGTATATCATCTGTACTATTTCACGTGGAGTAACCAGATTTAGTGTACAAGTACATCTTGGGATGATGGAGTGCAGAGTGCAAAAAGAAGATAACTATATCCTCACTGTGACCTATGCTTTGACCTTTGACCTTAACTTTTGAAAAAGTTTGTCCGGGCATATCTTCTATACTATTTCACGTGGAGTAACCACATTTGGTGTACAAGGACATCTTGGGATGGCGGAGTGCAAGATGTAGGTCACTATGACCTCACTGTGACGTATGCTTTCTGACATTAGTGTACTGTTTGTTATATATAGAAATCATTACCGATGGGTGACTATGTATTGACTTGCAATCTATACACTTTCAATTTTATTTGATTACCATAGTTTCTTTAAACCTGGTAGGTTTATCAGGTGTAGTTGTACATGTCCACCAATCATACTGCTTTAATGATATGTTTTCAGGGAAGATATATATGCATATGGATAAGCTGGAGGGTATTAACCTTTTTACCACTGTAGACCATAATGGACTCATCCATATCAATGCATGGTAGAGTCTACTAAAGTTACATAGGGGTGAAAGGGTTAACATTCAAATATGGCTTACATTTCCAGATCTCAAAAATCTAACATCCATGTGACCATAGAAATAGAAAATGATTAAAACACTCCTGCTGTACTTCCAACCATCTTGAGGCTTTTCAGGTGATTACATTTTTATGTGAATTGAAATATAATCAAATGGCTGAAGAGCCCTAAGATGACCGAAAACAGCATGGTATAGTTCAAGTGGTATTTATTGGTACTTGTTTTAAATATATTTCATATAACTGACACAGCAGTCATCATTTTGTTTCAATATGAGTTACAGTCTAGTGCATATTGTATATCAGCATTTTAGTGGGGAAAATTCTCAAGGAAGTACTTAATTCAAAATTACACATTGTCTATGCAGACTGATTACCTGTCAGTGGGGACAATGAAGAAAGGTTCGCTGATACACCAGGACAGTAATGAAGGATCCGAGAACACCAGGTAAGGGGTCAAGATGACACCAGGTAAGGTGTCAGAGAACACTAGGTAAGGGGTCAGAGGACACCAGGTAAGGTGTCAGAGAACACTAGGTAAGGGGTCAGAGAACACTAGGTAAGGGGTCAGAGAACACTAGGTAAGGGGTCAGAGGACACCAGGTAAAAGGTCAGAGGATACAAGGTAAGGGGTCAGAGAATACCAGGTAAGGGGTCAGAGGACACAAGGTAAGGGGTCAGAGGACACCAGTAAGGGGTCAAAGGATACAATGTAAGGGGTCAGAGAACACCAGATAAGGGGTCAAGATGACACCAGGTAAGGTGTCAGAGAACACTAGGTAAAGGGTCAGAGAACACTAGGTAAGGGGTCAGAGGACACCAGGTAAAAGGTCAGAGGATACAAGGTAAGGGGTCAGAGAACACCAGGTAAGGGGTCAGAGGACACAAGGTAAGGGGTCGGAGGACACCAGTAATGTGTCAAAGGATACAATGTAAGGGGTCAGAGAACACCAGATAAGGGGTCAGAGGACACCAGTAAGGTGTCAAAGGATACAATGTAAGGGGTCAGAGAACACCAGATAAGGGGTCAAGAGGACACCAGTAAGGGGTCAAAGGATACAAGGTAAAGGATCAGGGCAACAGGTAAGGGGTCAGAGGACAACAGGTAAGGGGTCAGAGGACAACAGGTTATAAGGGGTCAGAGGACAACAGGTAAGGGGTCAGAGAAGTGAAATCAGAGAACACTAGTGTAGGAGTCGGACGACATCAGGTTAGCGGTGAGGGAGTGCTGATTACCAGATGGTATGATATTGGAGGTCCAAGATGAAAGGATATAAATTAAAGTGCAAAGTTTGCTTTTGGTGTATAGTAGTGACCAAATTCTGTACCAAGTATTGTTAAAAAGAATGGAAATACATAAATTTAATGCTTTAAACAATGCTCTTTTTCCCAATCAGTTCCGACCAGTTGTCTGTGATTGGATCAGCTGGGAATGTTGCTGCAGCCTTCAATACATCCCTTCAAGGCTTCAGCTCCTCCCTGGGCTCCAACACCTCCTTCCTACAGGACTACAGTAAGTTTGTAATTAGGAAGAATTTTTCAGGTAGTATGTGTAACTTTCTTATTAGTTTAAAAAGAACAAATAATTTTTAAACCTTGTGGCTTGTGGCCTTCAGTCTGTATAAATATACCACAAATCTCGCACATCTACTTGTAATGTTGTGAGAATTATCGTCAACGACTTCGTGAGAATTGAACATTCTCTTGTTGGCAAATTCAACACTAGGCAAATTTGTTTGATAGGCCAACAGGTAATTATTTGACAGTGTAAACATTTGTCTGTTTAATGTAAATGTTTCAGATAAACTGCCACAGAATAACAACCCGTCTAAGGAAGGTCAGAGGTCATGGGTGTGGGGACCCACAGGGGAACAGGAGTGGAGCCCAAACATGACTACAGGTTTGAAGCAATTCTCTTCCTCCCAGCATCACTCGTTCCACTAATCACTTGTTGTGAATGTTGGCAACATACAGTACAACCTTGTTAGCACGGAGTTGATAGTGCAAGTAACAAAATTTTAGATAAGTAGGATATTAAAGATATCCTATTAAACCCCAGAGATTTCCCTGGGTTAAAGGGATGTTTAGAAATTGACATGGTTAACGAGGTTCAGCTGTAATTGTGTATTATGTATGTGTTGTAATGAGCTGCATTCTACTTACATGTTTTCCTATAGGTTTGGCCATATATCTTACAACACGGATGGCATATGTTTGTACGTGTGTAAGATTGATTATACAAAGCAGGAATGGGATATATTTGATGTATATATATAAATTAAATTATATAGTATATATATAGGTTCTGGTGTATTTTAAAGTAGTATGTTGTAAAGGGAGAGGAATTAAGAATGGCAAAGAAAACATATACTGCAATTTCATGGTATATCATTATCTCAATCATTTAGTAAATAGCAAAACAGATTTATATTGAACCTAACAAGGGCTGTATTTCCATACACAAAATGTTATTGCATTTCTAATGTAGGAAAATCTCTGAGCCTTTTTCCAATCCCAAAACTCTGTCTGTGACGATAGGTTTCTACATAGCTTAGTTGGTACATTTATATCTATTTACTGGAAAGTGTGAACTTTTTACATGAACGGTGGTATGACCTGACATCAGACAGAAAATTCTGTCTTTATGTAAAATACCTTTCAAATTGTTGAGGTTTGGTAGGTTTTATCATACATATATATAATAATGCTAAATATTTAAAACTGTTTCTTGCTTGTAATTTTCATTTGTTACCAAGGACTTGATTTTCATATTAATTACGGCAAATTGATGCTAATTGATTTATCATGAACAAAAATCATAACTACATGTATTGTATTAAACAGAATTTTTGTGAATATTTAGTCAGGTCATCCTACTGAAAAAAGGCTCAAACATAAAATTAATAACAATACAATTCAGTTCTGTTTTTGTTTGTGTTTTTATACGCCCGTCAAATTTGACAGAAGTAAAATGGTATGGGGTTGTCGGTCCGTCCGGCGTAAATTTGTTTGTCCGGCAATCTCCTCCTACATTTTTCGACCGATCTCTTTGAAACTTGGTATACATTATAATCATGATATGAAGTAGTGTCTCCCTTAAAAGAATTTTGATGCGTCAATTTTTCCAAAAACAGTTGCCCTGTGTTCATTTCAGTATTTGATTTTATGGCCCGGAGATCTCCTACATTTTTTGACGGATTTCTTTGAAACTGAGTGGGCTAAATAATCATGATATGTTGTTGTTTTTCCTTGAAAAGAATTTTGATTCAACAATTTTGCAAAAGTTATTGCCCTTTGTTTATTTCAGTATTTGATTTTTGTCCGGCCATCTTCTCCTACATTTTTCAAGGGATCTCTTTGAAACTTGGTATACATTATAATCATGATATGAAGTTGTGTCTCCCTTTAAAGAATTATGATTCAACGATTTTTGCAAAAGTTATTGCCCTTTGTTCATTTCAGTATTTGATTTTTTGTCCGGAGATTTTCTCCTACATATTTAGGTCACCTGAGACAAAGTCTCAAGTGACCTATTGCGATCGCCTTTTGTCCGTCGTCGTCCGTCGTGCGTCCGTGAATAATTTACATTTTCGACTTCTTCTCCAAAACCCCTGAACCAATTTCAATGAAATTTTGCAGGGACCTTCCATGGACAAAGGTCAACAAAAGTAGTTGCCGGTTTAGTCCTAAGCCCCCAGGGGCCTGAGGGGCGGGGCCAAAAAGGGTCAAATTGACTAAAATTTCAAAAA